TTATTTATTTATTTATTTATTTATTTATTTATTTATTTATTTATTTATTTATTTATTTATTTATTTATTTATTTATTTATACCCCACCCCTCTAGACCATGTCTACTCAGGGCGGCTTGCTATGCATAAGGAAGCCCCACTGGGTGTGATTCATGCCTCTGTAGAAGTTGTGAGAGAGGCTAGGATGGCCCCTTCCCTGTTTTCCTTCTGCTGCTTTGCCTAGGAACATCTTTTTTTTAATTCAGAAACAGTGTTTCTGGCAACTGACCGGCTGCTGAGGAAGGGGCTTGTGACAAATGAGTGCCATGTGGTTTTTGTAAATGAAGTATATTTAAATTGTTTTTCATTCCATTGTTTTAATATTGTGACTTTCTAAGTTCTATTCTAACATTATATATATACTGTATATAACTTTCATATGGAAGTTTTTATTTGCATCTGTTTTTAAACCTCTACAATTGCCTGAAATCCCAAGTCTGGGAGAAAGAAAGAAAGAAAGAAAGAAAGAAAGAAAGAAAGAAAGAAAGAAAGAAAGAAAGAAAGAAAGAAAGAAAGAAAGAAAGAAAGAAAGAAAGAAAGAAAGAAAGAAAGAAAAACTTAAAACAAGTAATCTAAAACTTCTGGATAGTGCAGTGGCTTAGCTATCTGGCTGCGGAGCTAAAGGTTGGGAGTTCAATTCCCCCTACTGTCCTCCTTGACAGGGGCTGCACTTGGTGATCCATAGAGTCCCTTCCAGCTCTGGAATTCAAAGGTTCAAAGGTTATAAAAAAGGACTGCGTGGCCTTGAATTAGGATCCCATGACAGGATAGAACCTAGCCTAGTGAGATCATATACTGCATCTGGGTCTGTACCATAACCTTTCTCTGGCTCAGAAGGGAAGCAGATGTGCAACATGAGATCCTTCTGAGCTGCCTGGTGTTACTGAATCGTCCTATTGGTCAAGAAATAAATGGCAACTGGCGACATCTCTTTAGGGTTTCACAGAGCAATCTTGCCAAGCCCATTCTGGGAATGCTGGAAATGACATTTGGGTGCCCTCTTTCTCTGGTGCCAACATGGATCTGAACCCTGCAAACTAATTTGAAAAGAAATAACATTTGCTTCCAAGTAAACATTCTAGAGTGGCGCACTAGGACTCTGGAGAACAGGGGCCGAATTCCCACTTGGCCATGGAATCTCACAGGGGGGAGTGGAGCTGGTAAAACCACTCCTTAAATCTCTCACTTACCTTGAAAGCTCTGTTAGGGTCACTATAAGTCTATTCTGACTTGATAGCACAAAACACACAAACACTCTACACCTTTAATGTAACATTGAATTGAGCTCAGATTTGGGTTCAGATATGGCTGTCCACAGTCCTAAGAGAGACACCTAAACAATATCTGCTCATAGAAACATAGAAAAATTGAGTTGGAAAGGGCTTAGAATGCCATCGGGTCCAACCCCCTGCTCAATGCTTGAATCCAAATCATATCAGATCTGACAGAAGATTGTTTAATTTTCTCTTGAATGCTTCCAGTGCTGGAATACTCACCACTTCCCAAGGTTATTGGTTCCATTATCGTACTGCTCTGACAGTTACGAAATGTTTCCTGAAAGTCAACTGAACTCCATAGCTTGAGCCCATTATTACATGTCCTGCACTCTGGGATGATCGAGAACCGATCCCTTCCATGAAATCTGGGGATTCCCTTTTCACAGTGTCAGCATGTGATGAAGGTCCATGTGCTAATCAGGGGGGTAGTTCTGTTGCTTGCCTCAACATTCCATAGCTTCCTATTTTTCTGCTTACTTACTCAGCTCGAGTTTCGGCCTCCAGCAGCTCTGGGTTTTTTCGGTAAAGAACGGTGATACAGGCCACGTTGTCATAGAAAGCAGCAAAATGTATAGGCATCCATCCTCGATCATCGGGCAGTCGGTAGTCTGCTTTGAACGCCAGGAGGTAATGAAGGGCTTCCAAGGAACCGCACTGAGCGGCCAGATGCAAAGCAGTCGGGCCAAAAGCTGATGGGGAACAAGATGCCATAGAATTATTTATTTAATTTATTTAATTTATATCCCACCCACACTATCCAAAGGTCTCTGGGCGGCTTACAACGTTTAAAATACAATAAAAATTCAGAACAATTAAAATACAATTAAAAATATATAAAAATTGCCATCGGACCCCCAGCTAATATTATTTCAATTAAAAGCCTTCTGGAACAGGACATCTCTTGGGGTACTTTTGGCAAAATCTCCAGGTGTCAATCAATCCTGACTTACAGAGATCCGTGCCAGGGTTTCCTAGCTATAAAATGTTTCCAAGGTAGAAAAGGTTCACCAGTCCCTTCTGGTGGTGCTCTAGGACGGTGCAGCCTGCCCACAGCAGTTTGCTACAAATGCTGGCTCTTCTCAGCTGGAGAATGAAACCCCTTGACCTCGCCAGGTATTTCAATGGCAGCCACATAACACGCCTATTGCAATTTTATGAACATAGAGTATGCACTCGCACATACTGGTGAATACTCTGAAACAAAGAGATTATGCCATTTGGCAAGCAGGGGTGGGATATTCAGGTTATCTCAAGAATTGTGTCTCCCTTTAGGAGCCTGCTTTAAGATCACCTTTCTCCTGGTCCCGCCACCCTCACGGGTGTACTTGGTGGGAACACAGGAGAGGGCCTTCTCTGTCGCTGCTCCTAGACTCTGGAACTCCCTCCCACTGGAGGCCAGGCTGGCCCCATTTTTGCTGTCCTCCTGCAAGCAGGAAAAGACCTTTCTCTTCAAGCAAGCTTTCCCTGAGTGAATGGCTGCCTGATCAAGGTTTTTTAATGGATGGTTGTACGTTACTGCTTTGAATGTGTTTTGGTGTTGCTTTTTATTTCTGTTTCTTCGAATGATATGTTTGAACCTTTTTAGTATTTGTATAATTCTTTTTAGCTGTAAATAACATCTTTTAATGATGTAAGGTATTTGTTTGATCCTTTTTTGTATTTATATGCTCACTATTGTTAGCTTTAAAGATAGTCTTTTAATGATATAAGCTGCCTTGGATCCTTTTAAAGGAAAAAAGCAGGGTAAAAATATTTTAAACAAACAAAACTGTCATCACTGGAACTAGGCATAACTAAATGGATGGCAGCTACATTTTAATGAAAGCAATAGTATGTTTGTGTATAACTTACCACCTCCTTCCCACGGGCTATCCTTTTCTGAAAGACCTGAAACTACAGAGATTTATTCTGAGTCTAAATATATAGCACTTGAGATATCCTCATGACAGCATGATACATACGTAATATAATCATATACATAATTTTTGCCACAATAACAATATCCAATAATCTAGACACCAAATGATTTTACTAGTCTGACGTAAATGCTTTCACAGTCAACTTTTTTTGACGTGAAACTTGCCCCATTGACTTCTGTTTGAGCTAAATAATGAAACCATAATAGGCATTTCCCCCTTTCCTCCCAAGTGAGCTCAGTTTTCCACCAATGAAATGGTAAAGGGTAAAGCTTTTAATGAATCATAATTTATAGTATATGCCCACCTTTCTTGGAATGGGACTGACCCTGTATAAAGCTAGAAAAATTTTGTTCTTAAAATTGCAGACTCATTATCCCTAATCCTAGTACATCATTTTATTTAGCACATTGTGTTAATTAAAGCATATTTTAAATCATGTAATCAAAAAACAACAAATTACTCATAACTTACCTTTTGTCTCCGTTTTTTGGGAACGTTTTCCTAAAACAGAATATATTCACCAAAAACAAAATTTAGATTGTATTTAGGCACTATGATTGTTTTGATGTTCTTCATCTTTACAGTATTTTACTTTTTGATATTAACAGTTCCTGATCTGTACCACAGTTTGCTCTTGGTCTGGTTTTGGCAGTTGGAACATAGGTTTTGCTCCTCCTACTTCCAATTATGTAGTCTAACTTATTTCTATGATGGACATTGATGATATCCCCATATACAGTTACCTGTTCAATTGCCTAAAGCATGCATCTACAATAAACCCAGATTGTAGTGGCCTTGTAGTGAGCTGTGTGAGGGCTGATCAATCCTATGGAAGAGGTAGTAAAGCATATATGTTGAAGAATAAAAGTCAAATAGGAAAAAAAATTCCTCATAAACAAGTGATTTAGACTTTACTGATGCATCTGCAGAGTCCTTTGAAATAATATCTTGCAGATATTTTAGATTTAAAATCCCTGGAGCCCCAGCTAGGAAAGCCAATGGTCAGCCATTTGGGGAACTGAAATGCAAAAGGTTGAGGACCACAGGTTTAGGCAGTGAAGAAAAAGAGCAAATTCCACAGGAAAATTGCTTTCTTTTTCCACAGCTTCATAATTTCGGTCCTTCTTTGTTCACAGACATCTTGTGTCATGACATAAAGATCAAGGTCGAGTTTCCCTCATTTCCTCTCTAAAACCCAACTCTTTGGGGAGTTGAATATCAATGTATTCGCGAAGGCTTGGGAAGTTGAATATCGCTTCAGTAAGGGAAGGGTACAATAACTTTACTCCCCAGAAGGGCCGGAAACTACTGTAGGGCAAAAGGCTCCGCCCACTCAGGGGGCTGTCACAAACTGCCTAATGGTAGGACTGGCTCTGCTCAGCAGATAATGATTCGTACCTTGTGAAATCAGTATGGTGCGCCTCTGATTCATAGTCACTGGTGATTTCACCACCTGACATATAATTGCCACGCGGTTGTAGAGAGCGGCATGGTGGATCAGACCATAACCGTTTTCATCCGTCGAACCAAGACTGGAGATAGATGTCTTGCGACAGAACGTAAGGAAGATGGCTGCCAGACCTCGTTCAGCAGCAGCTTTCATGCCGAATGAGAGACTCTAAAACCATATATTTAGAAAGGAATGTTGACAAAGAATAAAATACACTAAAATCCACTCAAACCATCTGTGTGTTACATAAGGAGTTGTGTGCCCTGTATTCTGACAAACTAAAATACAATTCTGTGAAACTGAATTCTAGGACCAGTATAGACTATGTAAATTGAGAAAACAAGCATAATTTCTGTTATTAGCCATCTTTTTTGTCCTGTTTTGTTTTTCTCTTCAATGTCATGAATCCTCCCATGTTTAAACAGAGGACAGAGAAGACAGAGAGACTACCGAAGCTCTGGCACAAACCACTGCAGATCTATTTAATCTCAATCTGTTTGAACTGTGGTAGAAGTGGCAGAAATCTTAATGGAGTCCATAAACCCCATTTGTGACTCCCTCAATTTTAGGAAACACACACTTTTTCTAAAATAATTAGCTGTGAGGGATGCTGGCTACCTCTGGCTCTCCGTAATTCAAGGAGTGCCTTGAGAACTTGTCTCTGGCCATTTAAGGTCTCAGCGGGCACAGTCTGCACCCTCTCAGATATATCTTCATGCCAGAGTTAGGTGCTTGATTTTTCTTTAACATAAACTCTGAAACTCCCAGAAAATAGAGACTGACATCTGGTAATAAGAGTGTAACCAGGATATTTGGTGAGTTGACTCCTCAATAAATTCCACTGATTCAATGGGTCTACTCAAGTGTGACTTACTATGGGATTTCAGTCTATATTGCATAGCAATGTTGGATTTTTCCTGTATATTTGTAGTTCCACAACATTCAGGTAGTTGTGCCTGTAAATGAATGAAATGTACATATTTGCCATATTTGACAGCACCTGAAAGGACTTCCTCTGTGGACCCTACTCTGTTTACTACCAGTGGGAGCAAAACATTTTGTGGAGCCATGAGGGAGAGGCCTCTCTGCCATGGAATGCTGCTTGTGGAATGATGTCCTCTTGGAAGCTAGGCGAGCAACAGTTCTGACCACATTTCAGCACCAAATTAAAACACGCTTCATCACTGGACATTCTGCAGCATGGGGATCATGGACTGTCTAGAATGGTGGAATTCTGATACAATGTACACTGTTTCGAGCTCTTCTAAAATTGCTTTGGGTACCTAGCCTAGAAATTAGTTAATAAAATGAGAGAAATCAGAGCGGGATAGAAATATTTCAGGAAGTAAAGAGAAATAAATAAAGCTCTTCCTTCCAGCACCCTTTTGTTAATCTTAGGCAATATTATACTTGATGGTTTTAAGAGGAGAACATTGCTGGCCTTGTGTACACAAAGTTTCTAATTCATTTGCAGTTCTTGCCTCACGGAGTCTCTCTATCAATTCAAGTCTACTCCCTTAATGTTCCTTAAGTGATTAAAGTCATGAAGAATATTAAACAAACATCCGCTAAGAGGGCTGGCTTTATCAGGAGTCTGCTGCTGCGAAAAGAGACGATTTGATTTTGTTTCTTTGTTCATGTATGAGTTGGGTCAGGAATGCTATGAGAAAATGTTATAATATTTGACTTTTTCGCTTAGAAAAGTGTGAGGATGGGTAACCTAGAGGTGCGTGTATTTTAGAAGTTGTAGTTACCATGCTAAGTTACACCTGCCAGTACGGCAGAGGACCTGAGTATATCCTCATTGATAGATAAAGTGCTGAGCAGGAATACAACATCATCAGATTCATCACCATTAGGGCGACCGGGGCAAAAGGAGGCAGGATCCTTGGAAGGTTATATGGCAAAGGTTGCAAGGTAAAACCCAACTTCTTAGATTCTTTTTTGGGCACAGATATTAAAGATGGAGGAACTCTATCCTTTCTTTTTGCATTTGGCTATCCTAGTAATGACAGAAAACATACCACCTTGCGTTGCCTCCAATGAAAAGCTTCTCAAGCTGAGCCATGGGTCACCTATTCAGATGGCCCAAAGAGATGCAAGGCAATAGGGAGTGGGTCCCATTGTCAATAAGAGGGCAAAGGTAGGTATTTTTAGAAGAGACTGCAGGAGGAAAGAAATCCCATTATTTTGACTGGCAAAATAATGCGCTGAAAACGCTGATGACTGATGAGTCAAAAGCTAGTCTCTCTGCACATTAAGTTTACATGGTCTAATAAGCGTATCACTCAGCATCGCCTGCTGGAACATTCAATTCCTTAAAGAAAACATACCTTACATTTAATTGCTTTCTTGTAACCAAATCTTTTCTTGAATTGCTCCATCGCTTGAACATCAGTTAATGGAAGCCTTTTGGGTTTAAGGGTGCTTATTACTTCATTTATGGCTCCCCACCACTGGGTCTTAAAAAGCAGATAAAAAGGTTCAAGTTCAATGCCGATTACATAATAGCTGGACCATGTAGAAGGGAAGAATACACAACAAACCAAAATATGTTTAAAACCTTGTTCTATAGTCCATCCTACATGCAATCTTTAGAATGTATCTGTGCAATTACTGACCTAGCACATCTTTCAACTGCCAAGCAATGCGGTCCACCAACGTGGTCCATCAAAAGGCTTGGTAGCCCTCCCTTCCACCCTCTTTCTAGAACACAGAAGTGGCATGGGGTAGAAGCCCTTGGCAAACTACCACATGCTGCTTGTAGGCCGCATTCAGCATTATAAGCCACGTGGTGCTTGCCTGGTTTATGTCACCTCAACAGAATCAATGGAATAGTATTATGCTCTTCTAAGGTTCTGCATGCCCTCTTTGCAGATGGCATATAAAGTTTCCCCTTCCCCATTTCCACTGCAACCCTGATCTGCTAGGTGGACATTGTTGTTCTGGGGTCACCCAGTGTGTTTTGTGGCTGAGAGGGGCATTTGAGTGTGGGTCCGCATAATACAAACCCAACACTCTAACCCAGTGGTCAGCAGCATAATGTTTGTGAGCTGCTGGTGGCCTCCTGTATCCCCACTTGCCACCGGCAATGAGGAAAGCACACCTCAGAATTCGGCAATGCTGCAAAAAGAAAGAAAAAGTGAGGGATGGAAGGAAGGTGGCCATTTCCTCCTTCTTGCCCCTTGCAGGAGAGAAGTAGATGCTCAGTCTTGCCACAGAGAGCATCAGAAGCCACAGCCAGTTTTCAGCACCACCAGTGGGATCTGTGGCAGCATCTGCCTGTTTTGAACAGCCAGAGTGGTTGTGATGCTCTAACTGGTTTATTGACACATACAATGAGGCCACATGACACAGGGCCATTGTTCATCGGCAAAAACCAATTAAAAGTTTTGCAAATTCCTAATTCACCCTAGGAATCACTCAAAGATCATTTTACAAATGATTGTAACGTCTAGCACACACAAAGGACTGCCTTGGCCTTAGCCACAAAGTTATTTGGGACATGATCTAAGTCTCCTAGAACTGAGTAGAAAATATCCCAAGTGGTCTTTACCTCTTTCCATGAAAATCCATTATTGGTATGGGGTAATGTTCTCTGTAAGGTGCTTCGGGGTCAAGCAATTGAGCAAGATGGCTTGTTACACATGTATGCATTTCATTATAGGCATCCTATTAAAAGAGATATTAAAGTAGCTGGTCATATTTATGCTTCTAAAGTTATTTACATTAGTTGTGCCAAAACCAAGCATTAATTTATCCAGCTAAACATGTCAGTTTGATGTAAAATATGCTAAATATACTAAAGATCTCATTGCTATCAATAAATATTCGTATTGTACACTGACAAAGAAGCAGACCAGCTCACATACAACATTCTTGATTTAATAAACCACAATGATTAAGCTAGAAACAAGCATGGTGGCCACACATACACACTTTATTTCCACCGCCACCACTACCATTATAAAGGGGTCCAGTTAATACATATAAAATACATATATGCAGATCTCATTGCTATCAATAAATATTCGTATTGTACACTGACAAAGAAGCAGACCAGCTCACATACAACATTCTTGATTTAATAAACCACAATGATTAAGCTAGAAACAAGCATGGTGGCCACACATACACACTTTATTTCCACCGCCACCACTACCATTATAAAGGGGTCCAGTTAATACATATAAAATACATATGTGTATTAGCCTAACTGTAGCTATTTTGCTTTCTGTAAACCTGCTTTGCTATATGGATGTTTTTGCTTAGGCAGGCAGGAATGGACAAGGGAGGAGGGGGTGTCCATCAGAGTTTCTTCCAATTTACAATTAAGGTATTTCTAAATGAGAACTTTCACCTTGGAGAAGTCTGAGTGGCTTACATGGCGTGGGGGAGAAATGAATTATAGGCTGCTGCTGAGGCACCTGCAGTCCCTCTTTTCCCCCTCCTTCTCCACGCTCCTTTGCCTCCCTCTTTTCATGTTGAACTTGTAAAAATGTATACTTTGGTATGCGGGGCTCCTTCTCCCTCTCATGCTTTTCCTGTGAGTGGAGTTTGTGCCTTATTTTCGTTACTTTCAGCTGAAAATAAACAAACATCTATTGGATCTCTCTGTCTCTGGCTGATTGATTAATGTGTTAGAGACAGGCAAAAACCAAGGAATTACTCCTGGGCCCTACATTTATTAATCTTGGGACTCTTCAATTACATGCTGGCTTCAGTGCTTTATTGCTGCTTATTTTTACAGCTGTAGTTCTCTATTTTTCACCAAAAATTATTTATTTATTTATTGGATTTCTATCCCACCCATCTAGACCAAAGGTCTACGCTGGGTGGTTTACAAATTAAAAAACAATAAAACCAAAAATATATATTATAGGTCAAGGATGTCAAAGTATAAGAAATTAAGATACGGCAGGAGGGAAAGCCTGCCCAAATAGCCAGGTTTTTAATTTATTCCTGAAAACACCCAGAGAGGGAGCCAGGCGGATCTCCACTGGCAAGGGAAATTGTGGTTATCTTCACTTTACTTAAAACAATCTTAAACCAAATATTTAGTGCATATGAAGAATGTAAATGATTTCTGGAAAGACTCAACCTATTGAGCTGCTAGCTGTTTGACAGAATCCTCTTACTTATGGCCACTAGGATAAGTCAAATGGTGTAGATCTCAGCTGCAAATTGCTTTTAGTTAATAATTCAGTGCTTGTATTCTGTGTTGCATGCTAGGTCATGTGAATGGAGCACTACACAGAATATAACTAGCAGTAGTTCACCACTGAGGTAGATTTCATTTGACCTGCACCAGCATAGTGAATAAAGTTTTTTGCCATTGAAAAGTAAACATATGAAAAGTATCATGCTAAATGCATGATATAACATTTTAGTGTATTTTCTCTCTTGTTGATTTTGAGATATCTTTAAATGAAACTTCAACATTTCTCTCCTAAATAAAGTTTATTCACAGCACAGTGTAATTTAAAATTACCAGAAAACTTCCATAAACTGTTCAAATGAGTTGCTCGGATGAAAATGGATTTTCCTCCGTTTTCAGATTAATCTGATTTCTAATTGTATGAAGTCCAAAAATAAAACAGCACAAAGCATTTTTAGGTACTTGCCACTCTCAGTCCTCCTTCTATCTTCGCATTCTCCTCTGATGTCAGCACTAGAAAGCATTGTTCTGCATTGTACATCAGCTGCCATGCTCTCTTATTAACTGATTACTGTGACTAAATAAAGAGGGAATCTGAAACAACCCACTACTCATAGACGTCTAATATCCCTATGTTAAAGGGATATACAGTGGTATGCAGAAATGCAAGCAATATTGGTTCAAAAATACTGATTCAATACCTTAATATTTTGTGAGACATCTTCAACGGAAGGAGTGCCAATATCAAATTCAATGCCACCATGGAGATGGAAATATTGATTCTGACCATACACAAAATGCTGGCACTTAAAATCTGTTCCAAGCAATAGTGGAGGCAGTTCACGTTCAGTTTTAACTTTGTCATCTGTTAAAAAGGAAAACAGGATTTGAGGAATGGTTAAGAGCGAATCCATGTGACGGAGTGAGCTCCTGCCAACCTATAAGTTCGAAAGCATGTAAACATGTGAGTAGATAGGTACCACCATGGGTGGGAAGGGAATGGCATTCTGTTTCTAGTCGTGCTGGCCACGTGACCATGGAAACTGTCTTTGGACAAACGCTGGCTCTATGGCTTGGAGACGGGGATGAGCACCGCTCCCTAGAGTCGGACACGACTGGACTAAATGTTAAGGGGAATCTTTACCTTTACCTAAGAGCATTGGATATTTTTAGCCTAGAGAAGACGGAGAATTGATATGATGTCCAATATGGGGCTAGTATGGGGATGATGGAGTATGCTTGTTTTCTGCAGCTCTGGAGGGTAGAACCTGAATGAATGGATTAAAGGGATTCCTGAATGAAAGTGGCTAGAACTCAGAAGGTGCTGCTGGGGGACTCTTATTCAATACATTCAGCATTGGCCTGTGACATCCCTTAGGGTCCTGTTTTGTCTCCCATGCGATTTAATATCTACATGAAACTGTTGGGAGAGGATGTCCAGAGCTTTGAGGCTCAGTGATAGATGGTGGTAACACTCAACTCTATCAGTCTTTTCCATCTAAATCCAAAGAAGCTGCCTTGGATCTGAACCTGTGCTTGGTAATGAGCTGATGAGGTCAAACAAATTGAAAAATAATCCAGACGCCAATCTGGTCAACCGGAAGGTAGATGAGAGAATAGGGATGCAACTTGTGCTGGATGGGGTTACATTCCTCTTGAAAACTTCAGAATCTTCAGCTGGTTCAAAATGCAGCTGCCAGACTGCTAACTGGAGTTAATTGCACGGAGCATGTGCATATTTTTAAAGTTTCAAATGTTTTTAAATTAATTAATGTGGTTTTAATTATTATTGCATGTTTGGTTGCTTTTAACTTGCAATTGTACTTTTAGTATTATTTGTTTTCATATTGTGAGTTGCCTTGGGTCCCCTCACAGGGAGAAAGATGGCCTACACATGGTATGAATAAATTAATTATAATAAATAAATCAAAATGAGAAGACTAAACATGAGCTAAACACCAGGAAGAACCTCCTGCCAGAAACAGCTGTTGAATGGTGGCAGATCTGTAGCTAGAATGGAGTAACTGGATCATTGCCTCAGGATACTAAAATTTAGAAGACATTGATATCTGGAGGTGAATCTATTGATGGGTGTTTGGAAAATAGCAACAGCAACACCCCACCCACTCCTATTCACTTTCCTTTTTAAAAAAAGACAGACACATCTTATATTTTTTAGGGGAACACCATATTCTTCTCCTTTTCATTGGGGTTATGCCCCATGCCTCATGACAGAATGGGTTGAAGACGGTGCTGCTTACACTAGCTGTCAAGACGGTTGGTCACAGTTCTGAACAGTGGGATATTTTACCCCAGAAGGGGAAGACTCTCCTTCTTTGGAGGTTTTGAAACAGAGGCCGGATGGCCTTCTGTTAGGAATGCTTCAACAAGGGATTAGACCCCATGACTCTTGGGGTGCCTTCCAACTTTACAGGTCTAAGAGTCCATGATTCTTATTATTCGATAAATGGAGAATATAAGCCAACTGTCCTGCTGTAATTTAAGTACATTGAGTAATTAGCTAGCATGATTCACTTATTATACGAACGCATATTGATTAACTTTCCGATGCTCAGATTTTCAGTATTTTCATCTAATGAAAAGGCCTGTTTATCTGGCAAATAAATTCCTGCTGTTAAAAAACAAAAATGCAAATGCAACCCCAAATTGTCTGGTTTTAAAATTATAGACCACTTAACTGAATTGGCCAACTTGATTTTCACATGACCTCTTTTCTGGAGTGGAGTTCCAACTACTTCATGGAATTATAAAAAAGTGAAGTTGGAAGTGGCCTACAAGGCCATCAAGTCCAACCCCCTGTTCAAGGCAGGAATACCATCAAAGCATATCTGCCAGGTGATTATCTAATTTTTCTTGAATGCCTCCAGTGTTCGAGCACTCACCAACACCCGAGGGAACTGGTTCTACTGTTGTACTGCTCTAACAGTTAGGAAGTTTTTCCTGATATTCAACCAAAATCTGGCTTCCTTTAACTTGAGCCCATTGTTGCATGTCCTGCACTCTGGGATGATTGAGAACAGATCTTTGGTCACTGGCTAGGCCCACTGATACTATACAAACCGCAAGGGGCTCCCTGGTTTAGGGTATGAAGGAGCAACTGGGTACTCCCCCACCCCCAGTCTGAGATGGTACTGCCCACATTTCCCTCTTCAAGAAGACCATTGCCAATAGCTTATTTCTTATAAAATGCAAACATATGATGCATACCAGATCTTGTTCGCAAATCAGAAGCACTGTGTCAACATAGAAGCTACTCCTACCTGAATATGGCTGAAGCAGCCGATTCAAGTTTGGAACCTTGTTCTTTCTTTTCATGCCAATGATAAACGGAATAAGAAAACTCATCAGCTTTAGGTATGCTATGTACTTTCGGATTTCAGCCTTTTGTTCTAGGTACTTCTTCACAAGTTTTTGTTGAAGTCCTAACCTCTGCTGTAGCCTTTGGTACGAAAGAGTATCAAGGCGGTCTTCAGTCATTCTTATAGCACTAGAAAGGTTATACTTTGCATCAAAAGTGAATACGTTTTCATACTGCTGAACCTCTGTGGTAGCAAACGTCAGTTTGAGAAGCATATAGTCCACAAACTGCATGAAGAATCCTTTTTCTTCTGAGCTGTTAGGGTCATAGGTTGGATCTTCATTCAGGTTTTCATCATAGATTCCTCGGAAATCTGGATCTCTGGAAATATCAACTAGACCTATATCATACACATGTACATTAAAAAAAAGCTATAAGTGTATGGAATAAAAATTAAATATGTTAAAATGCAGACATTTCCTGTCATACATGGATATATCTCTGCAAATGAAATAGATGGTGTGTAATAGTTCAAAGTTCAGAGAGGTTCAAGTATTACAAGGCAATGTTACACGTTAAAGACCAACTTTACCTGCACTTGGAAATTACCACTAAACTTTCTGATGTTCGATTTCATTTGGTCAGTTGCAAATAGTGAAATTACATGAAAGTATGTCTTTCTTTGTGCTCATATGTTTAAAGAGACAAACATACACCCTGGTCCAGCAGAGCAGTCTCAATATATAAGCTCACCATAGCTTTTGGTGGGGTATTGACATTGCAGATATGTATTTATTAATATACATTTCCATCTGCATCAGAATGCTCATATTGTGAAGTAGCAGGAAAGCAGAAGAGGACACATTAGTACTAATTTCAGATGGTCATAAAAAGCTGCTTTCTATCAGGTCAAACTCTGTGCCAGTCCATTTCAGAATTGTCTGCTGTGACTGACAGGAACTCCCTGGGCCAACTTTCTCCCACATCTAGATGGGCTATAACTCCCACCATTTTTGGCCATGTTGGCCGAGAGTGGACCTAGAATGAAGAAACCATTGTGGATTCTCAAGTAGTGGTGTCAAGTTTTTATACCTTGTATGTTTAAGAAATAAAACAATTACAGAAGCTATAGAAATAGCCCCGAAACTGCCTAAAAGTATCATAGTTTTAACCTTGTGGTATGAAAGCATTGTTTATTACAATCCAGTTTGGCAAGTGAGGCTGCTGAAAGAGTAACATGTTTTTGAGAATCTCTTTTTCCATTTTGCTTTCCAATCCATACACGAGAGATATGAAAATAACATATACAGTGCTGCCCCGTTCCTGGAAAATCACTGTTAAGTGAAATCGTCGCCAAGCAGGAAAAAAAAAAACACCATTAGAATGCATTGAAAACCGGTCAATGCGTTACAATGGGGAAGTACCTCATTGTGCAGCGAAGATTGCCCATAGAGAACCGCCGATCAGCTGTTTAAAAATGCTGTCTTCCGAAGCAGGGGTCCGGAAAACAGCCATTTTGAGAAGGGAGGGAAGCCATTTTACAAAGGGAAGCCATTTTGCGGAACCGGAAAAATAGTTGTTGAGCGAACAAACGGTTCGCGAATCAGGCTCCTAATCGACGTCAAGTGAAAAAACCCCATTGGAACCATCGTTTTGCGATCGCAATAGCGATCGCAAAAAAACCTCATTGTAAAGCGATTTCGACGTCATGTGGGGTAAGCATCAAGCGGGGCACCACTGTACTGACATCTGATGGATGATTGGTGTAAATACATTTTGTTTTGCTTACTAGTTTTTCTGCTTGTGGTGTCATCAGACAGTAAAAGTAAACAAAGGCCTGCTAAGTGGCAACAAAGGGTCACTTTTAAGCAATAGTTGCTGCTTTGGGGCAGAATTAAGTAAACAAACATTAGAATATATAGATAACCAGTAGGGATGGGCATGAATCGGAAAAATTGTGATTCATTTTGATTTGTGATTCATCAAGTTTGATGAATCACAAATAACAAATTCATGAGTTTTTTTGACAAATTGACTTAATTCATTTTTGCATTTAAAGCCCTATAAAACACTCCCCCGGCACCTAGAGATGCCAAAATCGCAGAGAAGCTTCCCATGCCTCTTCCCTCCAAGCTCTGAAAGTTTAGTGAAGTTTGGGTTTGGGACATCTGAATTATACACCCACAAAGAGGATCCCCCAGGAAAATTCCCCCCAGGCACCTAGAGACACCAAAATCTCTGAGAAGCTTTCCCTGACTCTCCTCTACAATCTCCCCAAGCTTGGTGAAGACTGGGTTTCCGACATCCAAGTTATACACCCACAAAGTGGGTCCTTCAGGAAAAAGGCCCTTTGGCAGCTGGCTTGGGGAAATTTCCTTGGAGGTCCTTCTTTGTGGATTTATAACTCGGACATCTGAAATCCAGTCTTCATCAGACTTGGAATATCTGATGCAGTTCTCCTCACAAATATGTCAATATGTCTATGATTCTTACCAGCTTGACAAAACTCTGCACCCGCTGTTTTTTCTGTTTGTGGGGTACCATCTGCATCAATATCCATGCTAGAACGCCACAGTTCAGAGAATCTGACTCGCTTTTCCTTGGGCATGTAGGCCCCATGCCACAAAGCTTTCAGCATGTAGTCCACAGCTATTAACATTTGCCCTATTCTTGTGTCAAAGTATGCTGGAGGGAGAGAACAAGAAGTGCTCTGATCATAATTGGCATCCAAACTGATAGAAGGGATTTGGTTTAAGCAATAAATCCCAACGGACAATTCTCTGATCATCTGGTGGATTTCTCGACAGTCCAAATCAAGTCCTGGCTCAGCTGGGGCAAGCAAAATAACTGTCTGAACATTGATGGTTTCCATCTCGCCCATAAGTCCACTGGGAAGGTCCAACGGGTGACGCAGATCATCTTTGGATGCCAGCCAGCTACAGAACGAAGTGGTAAGCAATTCCTGAAGCTCATTTCGTTCATATTTCTCAAAGAAGGCACTAGCGTTTCTTTGCGCTGCCAAGTGGGCTAAGTAGGCAGCCTCGTCAGCCTGCTCATTTCGAGGTACTATTTTTTTGATTGGTCTCAACATTATTCAGCCTTTTTCTTCCTGTGATTTCTAACTATAAAAGTACACAAAAATAGAGTTAAGTGCCCTACAATCTGTTGGGTGAGAAATATTTTTATCAGGAGAACATGCGAATATGCGGTCCTTCATATAGTGTTGGGCTTCCGGTTCCTACCGTTCCTAGTCAGTCTGGCGAATGGTGAGAGGTGATGGTAGTAGTAGCTCCTTACCATCTGGAGGCCCACAGGTTCCCTGCTACTGCGATGTGAATGAAAAGAAAGCAAATCAACCGGAGTCATATAACCATTTCAGTATTAAATGATGGGATAGGGCAATGTGATGATTACTGAGGTTGGGTAATAACCCCTTTGGTGGCTTAATGTTAATTCCCTAATATTGAAGACCTATAAAAAGTGATAATGAAATGCCATAATTATGCTTTATTCCTTTTAGACAGGGAAGTTCAAAAGGCTTTATCACTCTTTGTGACCTCCTGCAAACTATAGTTCCACAAGGGAATGAAATTTCTGCACCATTGGTAATGACATCTCAGTTGTTATTGATAAGGATACTGTACATCCATACACTAGACCAGTGGTTCTTAACCTTTGTTACTTGGATGTTTTTGAACTGCAACTCCCAGAAACCCCAGCCAGCACAGCTGGTGGTGAAGGCTTCTGGGAGTTGCAGTCCAAAACTCCTGAGTAACCCAAGGTTAAGAACCAGTGCACTAGACCAACATTTATGTGATTTATTGAGATTAATGAAAAGGTTCTGGATGAGTTGCAGTTCACCCTTGAATCACGGAATTGGAAGGGATCTGGAGGCTCACCTAATCCCAACATCCTGTCGATTCAAGGAATCCAAAGATGGAGGATCTCTGATAGATGGCCATCGAAACTCTGAAATAAGACTTTGAGAGGAGAGCCACTATCCTCTGCAGCAGGCAGTTTAATACATGTACCTTTACTGTACAAAATTGAGATTCGATGAAGGGGGGATAAAGCTAAGGACGATGAAACCCCAACTTAGCAATAAATTGTAGTATCTAAACTGCTGTGGAAAATTGCTGAAAAAACACATATTTTATGGAGGATGATTAAAATTAACATTAAGTTTGTTTGGAAGAGGAAGATAAAGCAAATGGCAGTTTTACCTGTTACAATGGAAATTTAGCAGGTGCACTCTCTCCAAATACTGTTAGGAGAATGTTGCATTGCGGGATATTCATTCATTAGCAAATTCATACAGCTATTTTATTCTACAATACATACCAAAGTTCAGGGAAGCCTGCTGTCAGTATGCTACAGGCACAAAAGAGCTCATGTCTCACATGCAAGAATTACACTATGGTAACCTGCATTGGCAGGACAATCCTGTGCTGCAAATAAGCCCCACTGAATTCAATGGAGCTTTCTTCTAAGAAGACATGGCCACTCACCACGCTGGCTAGGATTTTGGTTTAAATCACATTACCAATAATTTACAATCTACCATTTAACACATTAGAGTTCATTCTGGATTGATTAGAAATATTTGTATTATTTTTTCCAACAGAGGTACACATGTCAACTAAGCAGATTAAGAGAAAAACTCAAAGGCTACAGTCCTGTAGAGCAGAGCTGAGGAAACAATTTAGGGGCCTCTTCAGAAGACTTTCACAACCGGACAGATTTGTATGGAAGACAATGATTCATTAGCATAGTTATCCCTATACAGTGGTCCCCAAACTTAGGCCTCCAGATGTCCCAGAAATCCTGGCTAACAGAGGTGGTGATGAAGGTTTCTGGGAGTTGTAGTCCAAGAATATCTGGAGGCCCAAGGTTGAGGACCATTGCTGTAAATCATTTAGGAATTTTAATGAGCATAACTGGGCACTTAGAATCGGACGCAGAAATAAAGCAGAAGTTGGTAAGTCTCCTACAGTAAAACACCAATCAACAGTCTGGTAATAGCATTATGGGTCATTTCAAAGGTCCATATAATTTAAAACAATATTCCTACTTGGGTGTGGTGTGTAAACAGAGCAGGAGGCTAGGATGCAGTTAGCCATACCCCCAGAACTCAAGCATTTTTTTGCTGTTCTTACTGCAGTAACACTAATTATGTATTTTTGTCACAAAGTAATGTGATCACCATGAGTATTATGTACCTTGAAGTAGGGCGTGGTGCCCTTTCTCCCAATTAGCAAACTCTCCTGGGCCAGCCTTGACGAGGACAAAGCCTCCCTGTTTACTGTCCAACTATCCTAACTAGTTACGTGTAAGGCAATGGCAGGACAAAAACAATGCAAAGTTTTGAAAAGTAAATGATCAATAACGTCAAATACGACACCTGAAATTGTATTTTTTCCCCCTGAGGCAAGGCAGTAAAAAAAATGAGAATGGCTAGACACAGAGAGACTTAAAAGGAGAAAGAGGAGACAAGGCGGTGAGGGAAAAATCTTAAAAGTGACATTCCAAAGTACCACAGAAAGGCCTCCCAAGATCCAGGCCCTGTTTTATAAAAAGAAGCCCAGGCCAGAACTCAGGCAGCCATTGGGAGGCTTCCTTTTTTCGCCCTGGGATTAGATCGCAACCACTTTGCTTTCTTCAGCTGTTACTTAGTGAGCTGTGTAGGAGGAGAAGCTGGCCAGTTGTGGTCGCTATGGAAACTAGAGAACAATGGAGGAGGTCAACTGTGAGGCAGGTCATGGAGAAAGAGTGTTACAGGGTCATTCCCACCATTTTCTGGGGCGGTGGGGGAGAAGGGCTTGGTCTTCATAGGATCAGCTGATGGAAAGGGCAGTCCAGGACCGTGTTCGCCCAGCTCCGTCTTGTAGGAACAGGTCTTAATAACTGTTCAGCCTCTTGTGGAAACTAAACAAAGGGTAGTGTCCATTTCTATGGAAATTCCTTTGAACCCCATGGCTAAAATGTACCCAAAAGAAAAAAAAACATACTGAGATATTAAACAAAACAACTTTATTTTGCTTCATATATAAGACACAGAAATAGCTTTTAAAACATAGCCCAATCTAGCTAGTTAGCCATGGCCAGACTCCACAGAAACCCAACAGAATTAAGTTAGTTGTAATGTCTGATCCCATGTTTTCAATGGGACAGGTAGCTTGATAGTGCCCATTAAATCAGAAATTAAATCTTACTGGTCCAACGGGGACTTGCTGTCAATCAGATACTAGAACCACTGCCTCTGTTACCTCAGAAGTTTCCTGGACTGCATCTACAGCGTGATTCATCTGCCAAAGGGAGCCTCGAAGCCTGTGCATAACAGCTACTCTACTGAAACAGACTGAAGTCTTGTGCATTTGTCACACGCCTTTTCGTTTCTGTTCTCCATTTTCGCAATCCTGGAGCCAAACTGCATCGCCCTCTTCGGCAGGACCGAGGAGGCTGTTAAGCCGAGCTCCACAGCTGCCAGGCGCAAAAGCAGTTTCTCCCCAATGCCTCGAGGCAGAGCCAAGTTCGCTTTTTCCCAGACAGGAAGAGAATTAAGAAAAGATACAACTTCTTCATCAAGAAAGGGGAACCTGAAGTGAAAAGAAATGTTATGTAAGAAACAAAGGGTTACATTCCAAAGACAACATTTAAACTGCTTCGAAAGAAAATCCTTATGAACTGATTCTGGTAGTTGCAATGATGAGTTAGCCTTCTCAAAGTGTCGAAATGAACTTTAATACATACTTATGTCTATAAAAATACACTAGTGCAAGCCCATAAATGGGTACTATGGATGTCTATAACTTATTACTAGGGTATGTAACTGATTTAGTTTAGATCTAACCCTGTATCTCTAAGTTTTAGACTGATTTTTTAAAAATTATTTATTTACTTATTTTTATTCCACCTTTCTCATTAAAAGTTAAAAAGTTGGCTTACATCACTGAAAGGCAATGCTGAAAACAATGAATATACGAGGTTTACATACCATATTTTTCCATTTATAAGACACCCTGATGTATAAGACAACACCACTTTTCTAACCCCAAATTAGAAAATTTTATCGCTGTTTTCCCTGCCACTCCGTAAGCCTGCAGCTTAGCAAAAGAAGGTGGAAAGCAGCGGTTAAAGGGCTGCAGGATCCCTCGGATGAGCACATTCAGTCAACCAGCAGCACTGGGTCTCCGGAAATGGAAAAGGTGGCATAAACTGGGCACGCCTGAAAAAGTCCCCCCGCTACTTTGAAAACAACCCGAGGGGCGGTCACAGAAAATCAGCAGTTCCTCCTTTAGCATCTCAATTTATGAGACAGTTTGCAAAAGGCGGATGGGGATCACCCCCGCCCTTCTGTCAACAAATTGCTAGACATGGGGGAGCTGCTTGGCTCACAGATGCCTCCCACAGCCCCATTTGCGACCCCTTTCCCACCTCTGGCCACCCTGCCTGTCTTGCAAGAGGTCCCCACAGCAGCTCTCCTTGTCCCACGGACACACCCAGCGGCAGCCCCCACTCGCCACCAGGCTGGCAACATGGCTGCTGTTCCCAACACTTGCACAAGTTCCCTGCAACTTGCCTTTTCCCTGAGCTCAAATCTGCTCTGAGATTGCCTGACAGCCATGGTGGCGGTAGAAGCCGCAGCCTGAAGGCAAGCCACTCGTCCCCAAGCCGGCATCCTCCCTGGGGCAGGTAGCCACCTCGCCCACCCACCCGCTTGCCACTGAGCAGGCGATGGGAAGACGGTGCCAAGAGGAAGCAGCAGGTCTCAGCAAAGTTTCACCCGTGGCACCTCCACCCCACCGGCTGGGGCTCACCCTGAAACACGGGCAAGCACGTCATCACCTTCAGAGAGGTCCTTGATGCACTCAAAGGTGATCTCGAACTGAAAGGGGTTGCAGAATGGGGAAGGGTTGTCCAGCACCACCACATTGTTCACCTGAACCTTTGCCATCTTGGGTGGGAGGACCCATAAGCAATACTGGCTGCGGGTCCCTGGCAGCCCCGCAAAGTCCAAAGGGTCCTCCTTGCTCTTGCATGGACAAACCCTGGAGCAGGCCGGCGGTCTAGCAGCAAGTTAGGAAACTTTTCGTTCTTCATCCTTCCCCCTTTGAACCCACTCCCGCTCGCCTTCCTAATCCTACTCTTTCCCCCGCTTCGCGCTGCTGCTTTCCTTGCCACTTTGCTAAGCCTCCCTAGCAAAAGGAGGGGGAAAGTAGAGGTCAAAGGGCTGCAGGATCCCTTTGACTGCTGCTTTCCCCCTCCTTTTGCTAAAGAGGCTTAGCAAAGTGGTGGGGAAAGCAGCGGTCAGAGGGATCCTGCAGCTTACTTCCATGTATAAGACGACCCTCAATTTTTTGTCTAAAGAATTTAGACCAAAGTATTGTCTTATACACAGAAAAATATGGTAATTAAAAGAGACAATATTTAAAGCAAAGATCAATGGGTAAAAAGAGGCAGCTTAGATCATGAAAAGGCGTTATTAAAGCTGATATAATAAGTAAACAAATATTAAAAAGAACAAACAAGTACCAGATACTGTGGACACATCTAAAAGCACAGGCAAGTTGTGTTAAGAGTGTACCTACACTACACATTTATAGCAGTTTGGTTCTACTGCCATGTCTCTGTCCTAAGGAATCCTGGGATTTGTAGTTTGGTGAAGTACTTGGCATACTCTGCTGTAGTTCAGGGAAGGACAGTAGAGCTCTGCAACAGAGAATTCTAAAGTTTGTTTTATTTTTGCAAAACTACAAATCCCAGGATCCCTCAGGATAGAACAGTTAAAACAGGATAAACTACTGGATATTCCCATGGTCTCTAGATAGCATGAAGAACTGTTGTTCTTTAATGTGGAATTACTTGCACAGTTACTTGGATCCCAACCACTGGAAGATAAAGACTATTTGTACAAAGAAAGATAAATCTAATCGTGCAAACCTGCTGTGACAAGTTATATTCTGAGCCTGGTTTCATACACAAGGAGTAGACAGAGTAGACACCTAAAGTAGACACAGAACTGCCTTGCACAGTTCCGTTATAATCTTGATACCTTTCAGTGAGGAGACAGGTTCATCTGGAATCTATATATTTCACTGCCAATGAGTTGCTGCTGCTTGAGATGTTAAACAAAAAAATGTGACAACCAGATGAGCACATTATGCTGACACATTGCTCTCTGGACATTACTTTGCCTTAAGGTCAGGGTGGGCTAAGTGCAGCCCTCCAGGTATTACTAGTCTGGTGTGGCAGCTGCTTCTCACTAACATCTAATCCAGAAGGTCTCTAAATTTCTAGGGCCAAATTAGACATTATGCATTACATGCTGCAGCCTTCTCTGGCACTTGCCCCTCCTTCCTCCTGTAATCTGGACAGCACAGAGTGGGTATCCATGGTCCTCCAAATATTGTTGGACTGCATTTCACATCAGCCGTGGTCTGCAATAATGGACAGCTAGAAAACCATCATCTGAACGGCCTCAGGTGCGTACCCCTGGTACAGAATCTATGACGTGGTGTTATCGATGATGCACTTCCCTGCCCATGTTCGTATCACTGGTGGAAGGTGGTGGGGAAGCACAGCATTATGACATCACAGCATACTGTAACCAAGTGCAGAAAAGGGGAGATTCCAAAACAGAAATAACATGTTGGATCACATGCCACTGCAGATCATTTTTAAATCAACAGACTCTTACATTGTTCTATAAATTCTGCACATCTCCTTGGCACATGAGAATCACTGATAGAAATCAGCTGCTTCCATGCTCAATGTAAGTGAGAAAAAGTACTCTTAAATGGAGACTCATCTTATAAGGAAAACTCTGTACAAATAAACAGAAACATTTTAGTCAGTCGTGTCCGACTCTAGGGGGTGGTGCTCATCCCCGTTTCCAAGCCGTGGAGCCAGCGTTTGTCCGAAGACAGTTTCTGTTGTCCCGTGGCCAGCACGACTTAGATTCGGAACGCTGTTTCACAGCACAACCGAGAGAAAGAATCTCGGTGTACTGAGATCATCAACCCCGGGTTTCTTTAAGTACTGTACTCTGATACACTCCTGATGTATATGTATGCATTTGGTATACATGCACACTGTGCTAGCTGAATAGCTCAATGAGTTCAGTATCTGGCTGCAGAGCTGGAGGCTGAGAGTTGAAACCCCCACTGTGCATCCCAGGGGAGCCAACTGTGTGGCTTTGGGCCAGCTGCACAGTTTCGGGATGATCCCATAAGAAAGGAATGGTAAACCATTAATGAGTAATCTCTATCTAGGAAACCCCTAAAAGGGTCTCCATAAGTCAAAATTGACTTGATGGCATATGATGATGATGACACACACATGAATTAAATGCGAGTCAGAATCTGGAAAAACTCATGCCCACAACAGCAAGCGTACAAGTGCAACCAATGCAGTTGTGCTACAGAGATTCCATCAGACGACATCAGACTACCTGAGCAATTACTAATGCACATATAGGATTCTGGCCCTGGGCTTTAAACATTACCCAGAAGGACAATTCCGGTTGCCTGCCTATTCACCTTGCTTCTTTGCCATGATCTCCAATAACTCTATCATCTCGGCCAAGATTTCTAGAAGAAATGCGTCCCAATTCCATTTCTAGCTCTTCATTCAAACCTGCCAAACCATGGTTTTTAAAGCAAACACGATGCCTGGAATAGCCTGCCAGCTGCTCGTCTGCACCAATTCCTGTAAGTACCACCTGCAGTGAAAGACAAGTCAGGTTAATGGTATTGTTAAATTTATATATCATTTCATACAATCAAAAGGAGGCCTGAGCTAATGTATGAGAAAACAAAATACTGTCACATGTATTAAAACCACATGGATTTACTAAAACTGTCCACCCAAAAGGTTAGCTAAAACCACTGCCCATCCAGAACAGAGTGAACTCTAGAAATGTCACCAATTTGGAAGCGTAAGAACTCTCCAAACATCTTGGAAAAAAGAAACATGTTCTCCCAGCACTGAAAAGGTGACAAAGTTGCCTCCATTGAGTTTCCCTGCAGAGAAAATGCGACCATTGGGAATGGGGGACTACCACAGAAAAAGCTGTAGCATCTGTGTATTTAAAAAGTTATGTTCTATTTCTCAAATGCTATAAAAATGTTTTCCACCAATACCTAACTGCAAAATTGTTTATTTTATAAAATATTGGTTACATTTCCTTTAGAAAGTTTAATCACAGTTACGTTCTAATGAAAATATATTAAAATACAGTATCTACAAATAACTCTTTTGTAAAGTGCCATTCTGTTTTAACTAGCAATTATCATCTTCCATATAAAAGAAAGCAAAATTGGATTTTAATTAAGCAGAGACAGACACCAGGCGGCTAGTACAGTGATGGGACAGAAGCTCACCCCACTTGAGCCTTACATTCTTATGGCAAAGTTTATGAAACAAATCTCAGAAAGAAAGATATTTGCCAATGGGAATGATTTTCAGAATGCCAAGAGAGCAGATGGGTACTGCCAGTGGGAGCTGGTTTTCAGAGGTTTCCCTTTTAAGATATTGACAATGAATTTAAGCAGCCGTCCAATGCAGCACATTGGACCAGAGGAAGGGACTGCATATGAATCCGATCTTTTCTTTTGTTCCTGTGCAGCAAAAACTACAGCAACTGTGCATGCGGTTCACTTCCCTTAATGTAAAAGATGGAATACTCACTGGGCCTGAATGCATACCGTTCCATCTTTCAGGCTATTGAGGGATACATTTTTAAAGGGCCTTATAGCCCAGGCAGTCCCACATGCAGTGTGCACCTAAGAATGCCCACTCCGAAGCAGGCCCCAGGATGGCTGTAGGGCTTACTGCATAATCACTGCTTGCAGAGAAGGCAGGACCACCTTAACCTCTCAGCTAATAATTCTGTAATTTATGGCTCCTCTCCTCTTCCAGCCCTTCCGGAGGTCATGCAAGAAGATGAATGGCATCCAGCTACATGAGAGCACTTCAGTTGCATTCAGTTTCCTTATGAGTCTTTTTCTTACAACATTTCAACATGACTTTTCTCATTTTCCTTCCCCTTACCAAGCCATTTTCTCCTTGCCTTGTGTCTTGTCAAATTGCAAGCCAGAGGGCAAAGACCTTCTCATTTTGGGTTTTACTGAAAAAGAAACCGTTTTCAGAACCTTCCTACATGAAGAGTGGGGTATAAACACCTCAAAATAAATATATAAACATAAAGCAATAATGCATGCATGTGTGTGTCAGAGAGAGTCAGGTACAGATCAAGAGAGAGCTTCATACCTTCGCAGGACTTTTGTAGGGTCTTGTATCTCCCTGGTGGGTAACCAGACCTTCTCCTCTAGAAGCAAACCACACAGCACAGCCGATGCTATCGTCTAAAACAGTGTCCAGTGGATACACCAAGTGACTTATGTGTTTCTGCCTCATTTCTTTCAAATCCTCCACTGTAACATTGATTTCCACAAAATTCCAGGACCTTGAAGGATTGATGTTTCTCAGTTCTTCCAATCCCGCCCTGCCTGTAATTCTGTCAGGCACATTAAAAGATGCCAAAGAGCTGCAAGTTACCGTGTTATTGCCATTGAAGCATTCCAAACTAGGTGGCAGTTGTTTCTTCCCTTTGCTGGGCTTCCTGTTGGAAATACTTTGACTATTCTGTTCTGGAAGCTTGAAAGCCACATTGAGAAGATCAATGGGTTCTTCTAATGGCACATGTCTATCAGCAAGGGTTGCTATAACAACAGAATCAATGCCACCAGAAAAAAGGATGGCCACGCGGGGCTTTCTGGAAGCTGCCCCTGGCATTTTCCCTCTTAATGGATCATTATCTCTAACCAGGCATAAGACCCGTCTTTTTACTGATGTACTCAACACGTCAATAAATTGATGAACGATTTTCTTCCTGTGGTCCTCCGCAAGAAACATCTGAAGAACACTCACATCAGCTACGATTTTAGTACAATCAAAGCACTGGGATTCCTCTGGCATGTCATGGATCTCCTTGTTCAGAGGAGTGACAGGAGCAAACAATGCGTGGGATTCATTTATTACAAGAGCCACATGGGTTGGTAAATGTCTGGAAATCACACTTAGGTCACAGATGGCTACTTCTTCAACTGTGTTTTCTTTGGAAGGATATTTCCAAGGATGCAGTGTTAAAGCCACAGCTTTAGAGGTGCCACAGTCCTGAAGATCAATCCTGAAGATTCCTGATGCTGGAACTTCCCACCACGGAGGGTCAGAGGCAGAGCTTACAGAGCTGAGGATAAGAACCTTGTCCAGTTCTTCATTGAATTGCCACAGAAGACTGCGGCGACCAAAGCAGTCCCTTCCAAACCATAAATAATGGCTAGATGCCTGGTAAAAAATAAACGACCATGGGCCCCGAATGGAAGACAGCAGTGACAACACATCTGACTCGCTACTGCAGGAGCAAAGCTGGCGAAAAATAAATTGAGTGTCATTTTCTTCAGAAGTGATGGCGATCCCATCAAAGACTTCTCCATTCCAAAGAAACACATTACCACTAGTAAGATCCTCCACAGGCTGTGGAGTCATTTCTCCCCTTAAGTGAAGGACATGGCCAGAGAATAAGCAGTGATGTGGACAATGGGGTACACTCTTTACCAAATGCTGGCTACTATCAGGTCCTCTTCTTCTAAGATGACCTAAGACAGCCTTTTCCAAGAGACAAGTGCTAGGGGGATGGGCAGACAAGCTGACCACACAGCAAATGCCACACATTTTGAACTCTGGTTCAATTTAGCTATTTTTTAATTTTGGCTTTCTCTGAATTTTCCATTTCCTGATGTGACTTCTTCAGTTCATCTAATGTATCTGCAAGGGAGGAAGAAGACAGAATCCATATTTATTATATTAGCTTAGTATTGCAATATACTGAGAGAGAGAGAGAGAGAGAGAGAGAGAGAGAGAGGTGGGTTTTTTAATAAAATCTTTTGTCCAAAAGAGAGAGAGAGAGAGAGAGATGGTTTTTTTTAAATAAAATCTTTTGTGATCTTTGGACAAACTGTGAAATCCTGTGCTTTACAAGTACGCTTCCTACGCACCCAACAGAAATGTTTTTCTCTAGCCTACATCCTGCAGCCCCATCTCCCCCACATCTACTTGACAAAGCAGTCAGAGGACAAGGGAAAGCTTTGCCTTTCTCCTTGTCCCTCTGATAGAAGACATTCAGTGTCATCTGCTGGATCTTGTTTTCCTCCCCTTCCTTAACAGGACTGACGTACCATACATTGCAGAGTGCATCTACAAAGCACTGCAGAGCAATGAGACAAAGTGCACAAACCCTAATAAGAATCCAGAGAACTACTTCAGGCTTTCTAACGTATCTCTGCAATGAAAGAGCCCTTTGGGTCTGAACAATGGAGTTCCACGTCATATTAGAGAGGTTTAAAACTTCTGAGACGGAAAAGCATTTGACTCATCAAAGAATACACTAGGCTGCTGCCTACATTCTTAGCTTCATTACTAAATATTTCTTTTTATAAGGACACGAACAGGCATATGCAACAGGAAGATGTTATGTGCAAATAGGATTTCTGTACACTACATAAAAACCTGTCTTCTCGACACTCAGTCGGTTCCATTTTTTTCTCTCTTCCTTGACTTTGCACTGTCCAGATATGTTGAATCACAACCAGCATAGTCATATATATACCCAGAGGTGCTAAGAAGGATGCTGTTTTATCATACTTAATGGTAGCACTGCCCACATTATATTTTATGAGAAAACAGAAACGAAGAGTGCCAGCCTTATGGTTAGGTAAATAGTGGCCCCAACCCAGTGTATACTTATGTGAATCAACAAATGTTTTGATACATACTTTTGCATTCAGATAGTGTCTGAGCTTTGTCTGCTAAAAAGAATATGTTGCTGTTGGGTTGCTGCTTGTAAACCTTCTGTAAAAGAAAACGAAACAAGTGGACTTAGACATTAAGGAACATAGGAAAAATAAAACACAAATATTCTTATGTGAAGATTTTCTTTCTTCCGATTTTTTGAAAAATGTTCATTTGACACTCTAAGTAAAGAGATGATCGGCTGAATCTACATGTAAACATCTTGTGAAACCTGGAAAACATATCTTTATCAATGAGAGACTCTTTGATGCTGTCTCATTTTTCTTATTGGTTGATAAGCCTGTGAGCTCAGTCTAAGTGTAGCGTTTATTACAGCATGTACATTTTGAGGTGCTTCAGAAATCATTGTTTCTTATTAATTTAGAACATATTCACCCCATAGGTCAGGCACAGAGACTTTAAGGATAGCGTGGGTGACAATCATATAAACAAGACCCCCCGTCTTCTTGCTGATATAGCAACAAGGCAGGATATTTTAAAAAAAGCTTCTGAGATGAATCGTGAACCAGCATGGGCCCAGGTTAAGACACTGGTGTGACCTTTCAGATGAACCTCCATGACATGATGCTGAGGCAGCAGTTATACTGTGCATCCCGCCACTCGCAGCAGGGAGATCTGTGTGCTGCTGTTGTAGTGGTACACCATATGTTTCCCCACATGAGGCTCCACAGATGTAAAAAGTTACATCTCTTAATAATGTTAACCCACTTCCACCACTGATGTGAAGCCATTCACAAACTGAGACATTTGTTTCACAAATTAAATGTTGACTGATCAAAGAAGAGCAGGGTCAGCATCTGCAGGAAAGCACACTGGCAGAAACAGGCAGGAAGTACGATAACTGCTGCCTCAGCATCATGTCATGGAAGTTCATCTGAAAGGTCACACTGGTGTCCTAACTTGGGCCCATGCTGGTTTATGATTTATCTCATTTCATTTGTTAAACTTTAATCCTACTTTCCCTTCAATTAGCTCATGGCAAGATGTATGGTACCCTACTTTATTCTCACAACAACTATGTGAGGTGGGCCAGGCAGAGACTCCCTCTGTGAGCTTCATGGCCAAGTGGGAATCTGAACCCTGCTCTTCTTCCAGCCAGCACTCTTAAGCATTGCACTCTGCTCACTCTCACCAGTAACATCAATGTTTACTAAAGGTGTGTGACAGCAGTGTGCAGTGGAATTTGCTAGAAAATGGTACTATGGGATGGAGCAGGGACTAGACATGCAAGAAACGAAAGCAGTCTCTCCTCCTCCAAAGTCAGCAAGGCAATCTGATGCAGTCAACATACACCACCATCCTTTCAAAAGAGAGAAAGAAAAAAAGGGGGAAATGGCATAGTTATATGGTGCATCTTTTCCATTTTTCTCTCTGGTATCTTCCGTGGGCTGTAAAAGAGAGGAGAAACCAGATGGGGTCAGAAAGTTCACTTCTGGTTTTGAAAACCAGAGATGTTTTTGATGTTAAGCACTGCAAGGAGCCCTTGCAACTTATTTAAAAGATGAATTGGTGCCCCTGAAAGTTTCCAAGGCTGGCAGCTCACTTTTTTTTCCTGAGAAAAAACAAATTGTTTTTGATACCAGCAGGGGAAGTGATAGGTCTTCAAAAACAGTGATGGAACCTTCAAAATGGCCAACCCTGATTTGTGGTTAGCAATTATTTAATATAAGCAAATTTGTTGTCACTTACTCGGTTTTTCTTCAAATTAGAAAGTTCATCAACTAAAACTTTCTGTTCTTTAATCTGAAAGAAAAGGGGGAAACAGCTCTCAGGTGCACTGGAAATCAGAGATTCCGCCCCAATACTCAAGCCATGGTTGTACTACTTTAACCCAGAGAAAGAAATGACAAAGTGAACCGCCAATGATAAGTTAAAATTATTCTTTCTTAAAAGCCAGCAATAAAGACCATCATTTTTGTTTGGGAAATGCAGCTGAGGCATTCCAGCCCTGTAGACATTTTCGTTAAAGTAAACTGAACTAAATGTTACAAAGAAACTGTGAAAATTTTAAAGAATTTTAGCTATTCTTAGAAGTGTTATCTTTTCTGAGCATGCTATACCCAACCTTGAATAAAAGACAAATGGTTTGTCAAGAAACAGTTATATTGTTATAACAAATATAATTTGGAAATGTATCCCCGCTCTCACAAATTCTAGTTATAAAGCACATACTTTAAATTGCTAGTAGTTTCCTTTCAGAATATAAAATTGTTTTCACACATGCACATGTAACAATAGGTTGTTTTAAAGACATGCATTTGGACACCATTTACAGCACTAGGCAGAAGGAATAAAATAAAAATCCAGTTTACTTGCATTTTGGAAATGCAAAACAATAGAAACTGCTGTAATACTTTTTGTCAGTATAACAGCTGTGCTTGTATTGAATGAAGAACTCCCAAGTTAAAAAGATAGCTGCTACTAAATATGACACTTGCAATTTGCAACAGGGAACTATCACATCAACTACTGCCAAGCAGTACAGTACTACACATATTTACAAAACAGTAAACCCAGCCATTCCAAAAGGAAATTCATTTCCCAGTGTGTCAAAGATCTCAGGATAACACACTATTGGCATGGTCGTCGTGTGTCAAAGATCTCAGGATAACACACTACAGGTATTGGCATGGTCGTGTCAAAACCACACTTAAGTCCTTTATATTTCTCTTGACAGACGAGGTGAGTGCTTGCTCCTGGATCTCACACCAGAACTGAGACACATGTATTAATTTAGCCTCTTCCCTTCTCCTAGAATAATTCCCTCTGTCAATTTCTTGCATCAATTCTCCACTGACCTTCCTGTTTAGCTCCTCTCGGTCATACAACTTCACTCCGTCCCCCTCCTCCCTTTGCAATGCCCGGCTGGACATCTGTTTCAACTCCTGTCAGTCCTGCTGCTGTCAAATAGCCAAGGCCACTGCTGGGCTCTTTTACTGTTGTATATATACACACACACAAGATCAACTGCTGGTCCTTCAATGAATAAGGAGGTGCACCTTCAAATTAGAGAGCCTGGGTTAGACCTGAGAAAAGCAAGAAGACACCGTTATTCCCCCATTATTAGCACAGCAACATAAATGCATAAATGAGGGGATAAGGATAGGTAGATAAGACAGATAAATACGAGTGCCCCCCCCCAATACATAAGTCTTCAGCTAATTCATCGTGAGGGTCTCGCTTGGGGGCGTGGGAACTTACTCAGCTCCAAAAAAACTGGATGTGTGGGAACTCCACTACTTTTGTTTGTAACATGCAAAGCAAAAAATACAACCTGAGCATCTAGATTCCACCCCCTCCCGTTAAAAAAAGTCCGAGGCAATTCTTGATTTTAATCGCCCACGCTGATTGATTCCCTCTTTCCCTAGACAACCCGGTGCGTACTAATTAGCAAGCAAGCCCGCCTCTTCAACGCCAACAAGGCTTGTTCCTGAACAAAGATGCTCAGCGCTGCAAAAGCCCGCGAGCTCCCGCCGCGTCGCCTCCCGACCAGCCAGACTTTTTGACACGCGAAAAAGTCCACGCCTGAGCTGCCCGCTTCCGGGAACGCGCCTGCCGGCCTCCTTTCGCAGGCGCGTCTGAATGACAACTTGGGCTCCGATTGGGTGGCCGGCCTGACGGGCACTTTCTGGAGCCAATGAGAACGAAAGTAGCGGAAGGCCGAGTGAAGAGGGGGGCGTAACCCTGGAAGACGAGGGAAGGGCAAGCAGGAAAAGGGTTCCTCGTGGCGAGTGAGCTCCGCCCATATGTTGCCCCACCTTCCGCCTGGATGCTGTTGGATCCTTTGCTGGATTTAAAAACAGCGAGAGGCAAAAGCAAAGTTGGGCGTTTGCCCGCAGCTCATTTGGGTGGCGCAGCGCCTCTAGGGAGCGGAGGAGTGGGGAAGGTTGGGCAAGCCTCGGGATGCGTCGCTGCAGTTTTCTGGGTACTTTATGGCAACATATATCGGCTGTTGCCATAAAAGGTTCACGTGTGACCTTTCAGCTGCAAGTCCCTCAAGGCAGCATAAAGGATGACGCGTGTTAAAACCACCGAGGGCTGAAGGCCTCTGACAGAGAAGCCAGCCATTGCCTAATACCGAAAGGCGCATCATTGCTCAACCAAGAAGTGACTCTGACTTCCCTAGACCTGGAGAAAAAGTAACTTGAGGGATGCCTGAGAGTCTGTCCCACCAACCTAACTTCTCCTTTCAGTAGGAGCTGTTGGGACAATAGCCATCTTGCCTGCACTAATCCTGGTTGTCGGTAGGAGGGGTTTTTTTACAGCCTAATATGGTTGTCCTTGACCGCTAGGGTTTACGGTGGAATGCTATAAACGCTGCAAAGAACATTCTCTAAACGCCAAACAGAAATCCACCTCCAGAAATAATTACAGTTCGGAAACTGGCTGGGTCAGACTGGGATACGCATCCACAAATAATAAGAACAACAGTTTTGTCCTCAGAAACAAGTGCTAGTGCTGTATGGTATAAATCAGCACATGTCAAACAAGTGGATATAATTCTCAATGAATTATGCAGGATTATTACTGGCTGCCTCATTGAAAGTATTATTTGGCTGGCATTGCCTCTTCAGAAATAACAAATCATGACTAAATTAAGATAATACAGCAACAAACCCATTCACTTCATGGACACCAACTCTATAGACAATGACTACAATTTATTTATTCAACTTAGTCGTGTCCGACTCTTCTTGACCCCATGGACCAGAGCACGCCAGGCCCTCCTATCTTCCACTGCCTCATGGAGTTGGGTCAAATTCATGTTGGTTGATTCGCAGACACGGTCTAGCCATCTCATCCTCGGTCGTCCCCTTCTCCTCTTGCCGTCACACTTTTCTAACATCAAGGTTTTTTCCAAGGAGTCTTTTCTTCTCATGAGATGGCCAAAGTACTGGAGCCTCAGCTTCAGGATCTGTCCTTCCAGTGAGCACTCAGGGTTGATTTCCTTTAGAATTGATAGGTTTGTTCTCCTTGCAGTCCAGAGGATTCTGAAGAGCCTCCTCTAGCACCACAATTCTTCGGCGGTCTGCCTTCTTTATGGTCCAGCTCTCACTTCCATACATCACGACAGGAAAAACCATAGCTTTGACTATTCGGACTTTTGTTGGCAAGGTGATGTCTCTGCTTTTTAAGATGCTGTCAAGATTTGTCATCACTTTCCTCCTAAGCAGGCATCTTTTAATTTCGTGGCTGCTGTCTCCATCTGCAGTGTTGTCTGGGTTGTCCGGGATAGCCAAGCCAAGCCAAGCCAGTTCTCTGCTTACCATAAGCCCTGTAGTGCTTAAAGCACTCTGGGCAGTTTACAATTTAATTGTGCAGGCTACACATCCACACCCCCATGAGCTGGGTACTAAATTGACAGACCATCAGAAAGATGGAAGGGAGTCCAGGAGGGATGGGAATTTCTTAAAAGGGAGATACTAAAGGCACAATCTAAATCTGTTCCAATAAGAAGGAAAAAAGGGAGATGTCTAAAGAAATCAGAATGGTTGATTAAAGAACTTTCAACTGAACTAAGTGTTAAAACCAAAGAATAGCAAGGAGAGATAAGAGAGCCTTCTTAAATGAACAGTGCAAAGATAAAGAGGAAAATAATAGGGAAAAAACAGAGATATGTTGAAGAAAATAGGAGATATTAAAGGAACAGCATCTTTAAAAGCAGATATATCACCTTGCTGAAAAAAGTCCGCATAGTCAAAGCTATGGTTTTTCCAGTAGTAATGTATGGAAGTGAGAGCTGGACCGTAAAGAAAGCTGACCACCGAATAATTGATGCTTACCTATCCATTCTGAAGGAAATCAACCCTGAGTGCTCACTGGAAGGACAGATCCTGAAGCTGAGGCTCCAATACTTTGGCCATCTCATGAGAAGAGAAGACTCACTGGAAAAGACCCTGATGTTGGGAAAGTGTGAAGGCAAGAAGGGGACAACAGAGGACGAGATGGTTGGACAGTGTCATCGAAGCTACCAACATGAATTTGATCAAACTCTGGGAGGCCATGGAAGACAGGAGGGCCTGGCGTGCTCTGGTCCATGGGGTCATGATGAGTTGGACACGACTTAACAATGAAACAACAAGTGTTTTAAAAATGTACAAGAAGTGGAAAAATTGAGGAAATGCCAAAGAGGAATACAAGCAAATAGTGAGTATATGTAGGGGGAAGGTAAGAAAAACAAAAGCACAGAATGAACTCAGGCTTGCTAGACAGATTAAAAACAATAGAAAGGTCTTTTTTAGTTATGCTAGTAGCAAAAGGAAAAATAAGGAAATGATAGGATCGCTATGTGGAGAGGATGGCTGTGAGGGTTCATCTTTTGTCTCCATTTTTTCCTCAAATAAATCAGGAGATTTATGTAACTTTGAAACGCGGGAAAGGTTTATTGGAGTATTCAACAGAAAACTGGTATCTGAAATTGTCCCATAACTTCTTGCCTCCTGCCAACAGGTCCGACAGGGGTTTCCAAGCTCCATTCAGGAACGGGTTAGTCTCGGTGGTGTTCCACGGACCTGGCCAATCCATTGATGCATCTGGCTTCAGCGTCTCTCAGGTCTGTCCTTCCAGTAGGGGAATGACCTCGTCATCTCTGGCTTTGGCCCACTTGACATCTCCTGCCGGCATGAAGGTCACCCAGGGTCCTCCCGGTAGTCTCCCCTCCTCATCTCGCTCACCCTCCATGCCAAACACTCTCTTTGTTCTCTTTCCACCCTTTCCTTCTTTTCTCTCAATCTCCTCCACCACTCTCGGCCTCGGCTTCACCAATAAGAGGGTCTTGGGGGGGATTTCCCTCATTCGGTGGTAGTCTTCTTGCTCCTTTGGCACTCCAAGCCTCTCCCAAACTCCTGTCCATGGATCTTGTAGCCAGACCCATTCCCCACCTGGAGGCAACTGACTGTCTCTCCCTTTTATCTCTGCTGTCCCTGCCTCTATCTCCACCATCTTTCTTTTTTCAGTTCCCGCCAATCCCAAAGGGTGCTCACCAATGGCTTCTCTTCATCCTGGAGAGAGGTAACAAGTGGGGTGCCTCAGGGTTCTGTTCTGGGCCCTGCGCTATTCAACATCTTTATCAATGACTTGGATGAAGGAATAGAGAGCATGCTGATTAAATTTGCAGATGATACCAATTTTTTTGGGCGGGGTTGCTAATTCCCCAGAGGACAGGATTAAAATTCAAAATGACCTTGATAGATTAGAGTCCTGGGCCAAAACTAACAAAATGAATTTCAACAGGGAGAAATATAAGGTCCTACATCTAGGCAGAAGAAATGAACTGTACAGATACAGGATAGAAGACACCTGGCTAGACAACAGTACCTGTGAAAGGGATCTAGGAGTCTTGGTAGACTACAAACTGAACATGAGTCAGCAGTGTGATGCGGCTGCCAAGAAAGCCAATGCAATTCTTGGTTGCATCAATAGGAGTATAGTGTCTAGATCAAAGGAAGTGACAGTACCACTTTATTCCGCTTTGGTCAGACCTCACCTGGAGTATTGTGTCCAGTTCTGGTCACCTCCCTTCAAGAAGAATGTTGAACACCTGGAACGTGTCCAGAGGAGGGCGACCAAAATGGTCAAAGGTCTGGAAGCCATGTCCTACAAGGAGCAGCTTAGGGAGTTGGGAATGTTTAGCCTTACAAAAAGAAGGTTAAGAGGGGACATGATAGTCATGTTTAAATATTTGAAGGGGTATCATGTCGAGGAAGGGAGAGGTTTGTTTACCACGGCTCCAGACACTAGCACAAGGAGCAATGGTTTCAAACTACAGGAAAAGAGATTCCACCTGAATCTCAGGAAGAACTTCCTGACAGAGCTGGTCGGCAGTGGAATATGCTGCCTCGGAGTGTGGTGGAGTCTCCTTCTTTGGAAGTTTTTAAGCAGAGGCTGGATGGCCATCTGTCGGGAGTGCTTTGATGGAGTTCCTGCATGGCAGGAGGTTGGACTCAATGGCCCTGTGGTCTCTTCCAACTCTGTGATTCTATGATCTCTTTGTTGTTGTTGCCCCTCAACTGTTCTAAGTGACTTTGAGTTATGAAAACGTTCTCAGCCCTGTAGAGTTGCGGAGACCTCCCCAAACATGCTAAATTCATGTCAGAAAGGTTCCAAAGTTGGTTAAGAGATGCTGGTATTTTACACAGGAAGACAAGCCTATATTCACCCTTTCAGAATGGGGTGGCTGAACGTAGGAATGGGGTCCTACAAACAATGAAGGATGCTTTTCTGGAGAATGCGAATATGAACCACATTTATTAGGGGGACGCGATTCTAACCGTGTTACATACTTAACCAAATTTATTCTTCTGTTATAGATCAGACACCATACTTCATGCTATATGGAAGGGAGCCTTCCATAAAACACATGAGAGTGTTTGGTTGCAGTGCGTGGGTTCATGTGCCAAAGGAAACAAGACGAAAAGGAAAACCAAAGGTAAAGAAAATGAGATTCTTGGGTTACGAAAGAGGTTCAAAGGCATATAGGTTTCTTGATGGTAATAAAAATGTTGTGATTTCCAGGTTAGCAAACTTCTGTGAGCACGAAAACTGGGACAGAAT